TGTTCAGGAGCAAGCAGACAGAGGTGATCTAGAATCTCTTTGCCATTCTGTTGTGATCGCTGGTGCAGCAGATTCAGTAGATATTGGGGAATATTTTAACCCTATTAGTATTTGGATATTTAGCTACAGTGCTCTTAGATCCATCTAAAAACATATTGAATGGATATTGGAGGGTGGAGAGATAAGAAAAAGGAAAATGAAGAAGAGAGAGAAACAACAACAGAAAGAGAAAAAAAGGCAAAAAAAAATTTTTTTAATTGTAATTACTATTCTTTTAAAAAAAATCTCAAAATAGGAAACCGCATGGCACACAAGTGCACTACACAAAAAATCTAGTTTGCTGGAGCCATGTGGAACCTTCTTCTGAAGGCCCTGCTTCTTCTGCCCGGGTGGGAGGACCAGAGCAATAATTAACAAGATAAAAGGTGGAGCTGAGAGTCAGAGAAAAACTGTGCCTTTTAAAAAAAGTGTAAAAAGGAAAAATTACCAAAAAAAAATTTAAAAAAGGGAAGACAGAAGCAGGGAGAGACAGGAACCAAGACACAGAAACAGAGATAGATGGCTGGGGGTGCAGGGGGGTGGGGCTCCCTACCGCTAGCTCGTTTGCTGGAGGCTGAATTATCAGTAGAAAATCTTCATTCCCTGAAAAATCTAGTTCGCTGGAGCCATGTGGAACCCTCTTGGGTCTTTTTTAATACCTGAAATTTCTCATATAAGTCTAACACATTCTGTTTCCTATCAATTTGCTTTATTTTCTTCTCAGGGATAATTATAACTTTTTTTTTTCAGATATCCTTTATATGCATGACAGAGTAAGAAACACCCTCAACAAGTTATCCCCTTCCCTAGCCTTCCAGCTCATTAAGATGCAGGCACACACATGTATGTGCCTGGTGAGTTCCAGGTCAACTTAGTAGGGACCCAACCCAGTGATGGACATGTGGCTTCCAGCACAATAGTATGGCAAACTGACTTTACCTCTTAATTCTTCATAACTGATTTATCTCTCATTTTCCATCTATTGTTTTATGATACTTGGAAGTATTTTAGATTCAGTTTGGTGCTAGAGTTTGATCCAAAATGAAGGGATGACATCAGAGTAATGCCAATATTTCTTTTTTCATATATATATGTTGTTTGCCATTAGGCATATGCACTTGCTAGAGAGAAAGAGAGAGAGGAAGAGAGAGGACTGGGAGAAATCACCCCAGCGGGAGGATGACCATGCTGCAATCCCTTCTCCTCCATTGTCTTCTTGGGATTTGGGGCATGCACACAACCACACCCAGTGTGTTTTTCTTTCTTTCTTTTTTAGAGAGAGATTTTTGCTATAGGGTGGGTGTGTTCACCCTAGAGACAGAAAGTGAGAAATCATGCCCCAGGGGGATGGTCACATCATGATCCCTTCTTCTCCATTCTCCTTTCCAGATTTTGGGCATTCATTCACAAGCACCTGGTGTGAGTTTCAAGACTCTGGGTCCAAGACTAGAATGAGGTCGGCCATGAGGGAGTCCAGCAGCATAACTATTACACCATCTGTAATAGTTACAGCAGTCTCCCCACTGTATTTTAAGCCACTGGGTCCAGGACTTGAACCACAAAGTTGGCCATGTGGAATCTGGTACCTTAACTACCATGTCAACTGCTGGCCTGGTATCTGTAGTATTTCTACTTTCAACCAATTAATCATTTTTCTATGGAAACAATAAAAAGTGTTCTCAAACATGCAGAGTTTCTAGATGTATTCCATTACTATATTCTCTCTCTCTCTCTCTCTCTCTTTCTTTTTTAGATTATTTTATTTACTTCCGAAGAGCACTAGAAAGAGAGGGAGAGAGAGAAGTATTCTTGCCAAGGTCTTCATAATGAAATCACCCACCCCACCCCCCAAGCGGGATTGCAGCATGTGCAATCACACCCGGAATGTTCAGGTTGACCCAGGATTTGAACCCATGCCTCCAGGTGTGCTCCAGGAGACTGCAACCCCAATATCATGCAGCAGTGTACTACCATTTGTGCTACTGAGACTGGGCCTCTTACCATCTTCTTGATCAAAAAATGACCCAAGGAAATATTCTATAGCTCACTGAAATTAACCAAGATAAGGAACTTAGTTATCAGCACAAAGAGACCCAAAGGAAAGCTAGAGAATGATGGAAATGCTAAAACACGTGTTGGCTAAATACACAAGCTCAAAGATGAAAACAGCCATACTGTACCAACAAGTACCAGACTCCCCCCTAGAGTAGAAAACTTTATTTACAACCATTCCTCAATAAACTGTTTTAAATGGAAAGTAAAGACAGTCTAACACGTAGATGTTTGAGAATTTACAGTCTCTTCTTCAGTTTTCTCACTTGTAAACGGGTGATAACAGTAACTACCTTACAGGGTTGTGAGAGAGTTTAGTGAACAATCTCTACAAAGCGCGAGGTCCCTTGTTAGTGCATGGGGATGGTCCATCGTTGTTATTTATCAATGAATAGGAATTTGAGTATGAGGCAGAAGAGGAGCAGTAGAGGAAGGAAAGAAGAAAGGGGAGAGCAGTGAACTGGTCAGATCAGGCTCTGTGAGAACATACATAACTTTGTTTTTAGCTACCTACTATGTGACACTGAAATAAACCAACCCTTGCTCCTCCTTCCCACCAACACCTTTCACTGGTACAGCCCCTAAACAAGTGCTGAACATTTTTACAAATCTCCACAGCTAGGTTTTCAGGAGACCTTGGGAAAAAAAAAAATCTTAGGAACAACGTAACCCTTATGATGTCTGGTAATGCAACTTGTTAATATAGATGACAAAAATAACAATTCAAAGGTATATATTACATAAAAGCAAATATAATCTAAAAACATAAATTATTCCAACAAAAACTAAGGACCTAAAATAAGCCGTACTAAACACATAATCAAACATGGTCAATACGTGTTATTTTGTACTTTCCACTAATAGAAATATAAATGTAATCCTGCAAGACAAGACATCAGACTGGCCCACGATCTAAGTGACATCTTGTTGAAAGGGCCTGGGGGTCTGGAAGGATCAGAAGCCCTGGATGCCTTGATGACACACAGGCGTGCTGGCAGGAGAGGATAAATCTGAAGGAGACACGTGATCCTGCAGGCGACCTGAACGCTTCTGAGGGTTTAGTGTTCTGGGACATGTCAGGACATTCCCTCCAAAGTAAAGAATAAACTGTTGTCACTTTCAACCTACCCTTAAAAAGAATCAAAATACTTGATGGGTCTCTTTAGATATTAGATATTGACTTTATTGTGCTATTCTGACCCATTAACCAGATGATCTGAAAACATTGCTCGCTTGGACAAGAACATCTAGTAAGAGACGACTTCGGGCTGCTTCATAGGGCAGTGCATGAGCTATGCCAGGTGGGTGTTTTTCCAATGGGACCTAATTGATATGCTTGTAATAAAACCCTGATGAGGACCAGACATGGTGGTGCACAGGTTTGGGCAGTAGAAACCACATGGGAAGCCCGGGCTCAGTTCCCTGGCCATTCCAAATGTACATGCCTATCATCCTAGTTAATTGGGAGGATCAGGCAGGAAGAGCAAGACACAGAGACTCTGTCAAAATTAGTTTCTCTCTCTCTCTCTCTCATGATGGGAAAACTGAACAAAACAAAATGAAACCTTGATGACAGACTAAACAAGAAATCATGGTTTATCACTATTTGGGGGAGGAAATACCAGGTCCATAAGAGTCGGAAACCTGTCGTTTCTGGGGAGCAGGATAAGAAGAGACAGCTGTTGCTTATTATAAGCCTTTTATTACTTTTGACTTTTTTATCTATATTATTGTGATAAAAACTAAAACTTAACTTGAAAATTAATCTTTCCATTAGTAATTAATAAGATAGAAAACATCTGATTCTGGAAAGTAACCTCATCTTTAGCCCAGCTATGGTGGTGTAGTTGGTGGGGTGCTGAGCACAACACTCCATTCCAAGACATCTGCTGGCCCCAGTACCAGTTTATTTTGATGCAAAAAAAAATTTGAAATATATGCATAGTTTCTCCATAATAGACATTTTTTTCATGAATTTTGGAAGACTCCTGGTATGCATTTATTCACAAAATCTGGGGACCAGTAGTGGTACAGTGGTTAAAGGCTCTGCATTCCCTCATAGCCCACCAAAGTTTGAGTCCTAGACCTGTTGGTTTGAAAATCACACCGCGTGTGTGTGTACATGCCCCAATCCTGAGAGTAGAAGGGAGGAGAAGGGACAGCTCCATGGCCTTTCCCCCAGGAGGTGATTTCTCACTTTCCCTCTCATGGTCTGTCTCTCTTCTGCTAACGCACACACCCTATGGCAAAAAAAAACTAAAAAAAAAAATAAATAAAAATAAATTAAAAAACCTATCCTTTTGGGATCACAATTTGTAATCAATTGTTAATTGATTACATTGCCTCTCCCAGCTGGCCACCAACTTTCCAACACACCAGCACTAAAATTCTCTTTGCAAGGAGAAGCTTTGGCGAGGGTTCAGAAACTGCTTGATAGGGTGTGCTGCTTTTCCATTAAAGCAGTGAGAGCCTTAAAATGTCCTCAGTGCTTTAAGAAAATCCTGTTTTCAGTCAAGTACAACTTGATAATGCGACCTCTCGGGTAAATGCCTTTAAAATGTGATCTCTTGGGTCAGGTATTGCTTTTTCATAATAAACAAGTTTTTGGTTTTTGCTTTTTGTTTTTAAAAAAGGAAACATCTCTTAGGGTTACGGAAAAAGAATAAAAATCTCTCAATATGCAGGGTCACCCTGCCCAACGGCTCAAGTTGTGCACCAAATCCAAAGAGTGCTCTTGACATTCTGTCATGGTCTATCACACTACCTGGCCCTCCCCGAGATGAGCAATACAATGGCCCCGCAGTCTACCAAGATGGTGGACTCCCAGATCTCTAACTGTATGCCGCCATCCAGCATACAAAGGTACTCTCAGCACTTAATATAAATACTATTATTTGGGGCCAGCCCTGTGGCTTGATGGTTAGCAGAGGCAGATGACTTTTCTGATGACCCAATATATATATATATTTAGTTATTTCCTTAAAAATACACAACCAAGGGACCAGCAGTAGGCATAATGGCTATGTCGCTGGACTCCCATGTAGTCGACCGTGGTTCAAGTTCCAGACCCAGTGGCTATTCAACCCCCTCTCCTTTTCAGACCCAAGTGTCCACATATCCAGCCAAGAGCCTCGATAAAGTCAAAACAGTCTAAAAACTCATAATGAGACTTTTGATGGCCAACTCTTAGGTCTACTGTAAAAAGGCTAGAGAGAGAGCCTTGTGAATATTAGAAAACAACCCCACATCTTGCTGGAAGAGGGCTGGAGGAGAGGATATTACAAAAATAAACTAGAATGGGACCAGCAGATGGCATAATGGTTACATTGCTGGACTCCCACATAGGTGACTGTGGTTTGTGTCCCAGACCCAGCGACTTAAACTCCTGCCAGACACATGTGTGCGTGCGTGCCCAATATCCCAAGAGGAGAGTGGAGGAGAAGGGATTGTGGCATGGCCATCCCCCTGGGGGGTGATTTCTTGCTTTCTGTCTCTCTGTCATTCTAGCAAGCACATGCACCCTGTAGCAAAAACCTCTCAAAAAAAAAAAAAAAAAAAAAAAAAAGTCCTCTCATTTTCTAGAGAATGGGTACACCTGGGGCTGAGCTGCTGCGCTTCATTTGAGGACAAAAGAAGGGGTTGTGCGCCGTAAGCTGTGTGTTCTGCATGGCAACAAGTGCCGAAGTCTGAAAATTCCGAGGCATGCTGCAGGGATGAGCCACGGTCTCTCTGCAGCTCAGTGTCCCTGCCGCTCAGTGCAGCCAGGCCCATTACTGGGGTGGATATCCCAATGGCACAAGGAGTAGAGAAGGACAGGCTCCTCTAAGCCCCAATGAACACACCTGAGAGTTCAAAGGTGTGTGGGGGAGAAGCCGCGCCCTGCTTACCCCATCCCAGCTGCAAATGGTGCAGCAAGACTGTCTGGGGTGGATGTCCTGATTGCCCTGCCAGTAGTATTTTAATTAGCATTACATTAATGCAAGTGACTGATATCTTTAGTTATTTGCCCATCTAAGATCCACATGTTTTTAAGTTTCAGTGAAATGTTGCAATTTTCTTCTTATAACTTCTCCACACTTATGGGGAAAATATTACTGGGTAGTTTTTGTTTTCGACTGTTACTGTGACCAGGATCTTTTTTGAGATATGTAAGTCTTGACCTTTTGGCTATACTGCATTCTTCCCCTAAATCCACCCTCCTGAACCTTCCAAAACTCAGGCTGTTAACCCTTTTCTTAACTTTGTCTTTTGATTTTCTGTTCCTAAACCCTGAGTATCTACAGCTTGCTCAGTAACTAGCTGGAAACCATAAATCAAAATAAAACCTTTGATAGTTTACTTTCTGTGTTCCAGCCAGAGCACATGATTAGCATTGTGTTTGAAGTTGCTGATGCTATCCTGAAAAACTCTGATCCGAGACATCTCTTGCTATCTATTTTACTCAATTACCGATATAAAAGGCACACTTCATGATAAATAGCAAATTATTATCATGTCTCTCCAAATGAGACATCTAACTTGTTAAGAAACCCTGAAACAAATTTTCACCAGGTTTCAGTTGGAATAACGTAATTGCATTCAACTTGAGTTACTTGAAGTATATCCTGCTATGAGTATATCCAACATCTCCTCCTCCATGGGCACAACTATGTCTCATTGAACAGCAGGCTGGGAGTCCATCAAAGAGAAGTACCATTTTAACAGTCCAATGCACTGAATTGGACGTCAAGAAAGCTTAGTTTTGCAACAGCTGAACAGGGACAATAATATTTGGGAAGCGGGATTGGAGATCTGCTTCAAGCTCAGACTTCGGCCCCATGCGTGCGAGTTGATACAATAGAAGTAAAAGCGAAAAAACAATTAACAGGAAGGAATACAAAGGCATCGCAAGAAAAAAAGAGATTCCGTAAAAATAGTGACTCTGGTTCTTCAAAGACATTCCCAAGAAAAGTTGTTAAGGAAGGTGGACCTAAAATCACATCAAAGAACTTTGAGAAAAGTGCCACAAAACCTGGGAAAAAAGGGTGTAAAGCAGTTCAAGAATAAGCAGCAAGGGGACAAAGCACCTATGAATAAATTCCAGCAGGCAAATAAATTCAACAAGAAGAGAAAATTCCAGTCAGACCGTCAAAGTGATGACTCAGTGGCCAAGAAATACAAATGGGATTATTTCAGAAAGAAGAAGAAAGAACTGGAGCAGAGCAGGCAACTTAATGATAAACCAACTATGACATTGTCGCTCGGTCCAAGCAGATCTGGGAGATTTTAAGAAGGAAAGACTGTGACAAAGAAAAAAGAGTAAAGTTGATGAATGACTTACAGAAATTGATTCAAGGAAAAATTAAAACTATTGCATTTGCACACAATTCAACACGGGTGACCCAGTGTTACATTCAACATGGTGATGAAGAACAGAGAAAACAGGCCTTCGAAGAACTGCGAAGTGATTTGGTTGAATTAAGTAAAGCCAAATATTCCAGAAATATTGTTAAGAAATTTCTCATGTATGGAAGTAAACCAAGATTGCAAGATCAGGAAAAATTAAAACTATTGCATTTGCACACAATTCAACACGGGTGACCCAGTGTTACATTCAACATGGTGATGAAGAACAGAGAAAACAGGCCTTCGAAGAACTGCGAAGTGATTTGGTTGAATTAAGTAAAGCCAAATATTCCAGAAATATTGTTAAGAAATTTCTCATGTATGGAAGTAAACCAAGATTGCAAGATCATCAGAAGCTTTAAAGGCCACGTGCGGAAGATGCTGCGACACGCAGAAGCATCGGCCATCGTGGAGTACGCCTACAATGACAAAGCCATCCTGGAACAGAGGAACATGCTGACAGAGGAACTCTACGGGAGCACGTTCCAGCTTTACAAGTCAGCAGATCACCCAACTCTGGACAAGCTGTTAGAGGCAAAGCCTGGAAAATTAGAGCTCATTATGGATGAGATGAAGCAGATTCTAACTCCAATGGCCCAGAAGGAAGCTGTGATTAAGCACTCATTGGTGCATAAAGTATTCTTAGACTTCTTTACCTATGCACCCCCAAAACTCAGATCAGAACTGATTGAAGCCATCCGTGAAGCAGTGATATACCTGGCACATACACACGATGGCGCTAGAGTGGCCATGCACTGCCTGTGGCACGGTACGCCCAAGGACAGGAAAGTAATTGTGAAAACAATGAAGACTTAGGAGAAATCCTTGAAGTTCTGCAGAAAGGGGATGGAAAGGCGCACAGTAAGAAAGAGACAGAAATCCGCCGACACGAGCTGTTAGAATCCACTCCTCCAGCTTTGTTAAGCTACCTGCAAGGACATGCCCAAGACATGGTGCTAGATAAGTCTGCCTGTGTGTTGGTGGCCGACATTTTGGGATCTGCCACCGGGGACATCCAGCCTGCCATGGACACCATCGCCAGCTTGGCAGCAGCAGAAGTGCACCCCGGAGGCAGGGACGGAGAGCTTCATGTTGCAGAACATCCTGCAGGACATCCAGTACTGAAGTGGTTAATAGAACAAGATAAAAAGATGAAAGAAAATGGAAGAGAAGGTTGTTTTTCAAAAACACTTGTAAAGCATGTGAGTATGAAGAACCTGAAGTCCTGGATGAATATAAACCAAGGTACCATTATTCTTTCTAGCCTTCTCCAGAGTCCTGACCAGGAAGTTGCAAACAAAGTCAAAGCTGAACTGAAAAGCCTGATTTCCACGTTGGAAAGAAACAAAAATCCTAGCAAAGGAATAGAAATTTTGCTTGAAAAACTGACTGCATAGGTGAACATAATTAAGAACAATAAGGAGGGGCCAGCAGTTGGTGTGGTGGTTAAGATGGTGACCTTCCATGTGAATGACCGTGGTTTGAGTCCCAGACCCAGTCGGTTGAAAACCATGTCAGGCACGTGTGCATGTGTGCGTGCATGCATGCATACCCAAAATCCTGAGAGGGCAGGGGAGGAGAAGGGACTGTGATGTGGTCACCCCCCTGTGGGGAGTGATTTCTCACTTTCCCTCTCTCTTTCTCTGTCTCTTTCCTGTGAGTGCACAGGCTCCATGGCAAAAACCTAACAAAAAAGAACAAGAAGGAATCATTTTTCCTCTCCTCTGTTCTTTTTTTCCCAGAGCAAAAAAGAAGGACTGGGGTGCTCTGTATATGTTTTTCTTGACTGTGTTTAGATTCTTGTGTAAGGATCTATTTATAAAGTTGTTTCTACAATTTAAAAAATAATATGTGCCTATGACTGTGTGTGATATCTAAAGGTTACTACTTCCTATATGAGAAAACATGTCGAGTATCGGGTAACCTTAACGTGGATCAGGGTAAGCAGGGTAGTATAAGCAGCAGCAGGAAGAAAGAAAAGAAAAAGAGGAGGAGGAAGGAAGGAAGGAAGGAAGAAAACTAATTAATTAGGGAGGGAAAAAAACCCAGAATCCTCTCAGATTATATTCGAAAGGAACTGGGGACCACTCCGATTTCCTCTTCTAAATGAGGCTGGATAGATGCAGTCTAAGGATGCCTTTTTAAATATGAGAGCAGGTCAATACCATGGACAGAAACCAGCCCGTAGATATCAACTAGAATCTAGCTACTCAATTTAACACCTGATCCTATAAGTCTACTAATTACTGTTGCTTCATAAAATACACTTTAAACAGCCCAAGGCAAAAGGAGTTAAATACCATCAAGGTATATTTTCCTTACCAATCTCATTTAGGATTAAGGGCAGAGGAAAGTGTTCTCATTAGAGAAAGACTCTCCCTAATTTCTCTAGTATTAGAGGATTAAAATGTCACTTTGGGGGGGCCAGCAAGTGGCATAGTAGTTAAGGTGCTGGACTCCCACATGGCCAACCATGGTTTGAGTCTTGGACCCAGCAGTTGCAACTCACACCAGGCACATGTGTATGCATGCATGCCCAAAATTCCAAGAGGAGAATGGGGAGAAGGGATCTTTGTCTGGCTGATGAACACATGTGCCCTATACAGAAAATCTCTCTTGCTCTCAAAAAAAAAAAAAAAAAAAAAAGCCACCTTGGACTATCTGCCAGTGGTTTACCCAAATGATAACTCCCAGAAAGTGTCTTTCACACACTTGAATACTGACATGATTACCTGAAGGAAGTAAGAATTACTCTCAAGAAAGTAAATCACAATATGGTCAGTCCTTATATTGTGCACCGAGAGCTGCCATAATGAAGTCCCACAGACTGAGTGGTTTCAACAATGAAAATTTGTCTCCTCACATTCCTGAGGGCTAGATAAAGTGTGGGCATGACTGGTTTCTTTTCGGGGCCTCCCTCCTTGGCTTGTTTGCAGATGGCTACAGTCTTCCCTCTGGGTCTGTGTCCTAATCTCTAATTCTTGTTAAGAACACTCTCAGTCATACTAAATTAGAGTACAGTTGTGGAATTTCATTTACCTTAATTAACTCTTTGTAGGCACTATCTCCAAATAGGCACATTCTGAGATACTGGGGGTTACAGCTTCGATGTGAATTTGGGGGTGCTTGGGAAGGGTACTAGTCAGCTTATAACAGTTTTCTGCTAAAAAATTTCCCTGCCTAGTTTAAAACTCCTCTCCTGCAACTCCCCCTCTTGCTCACCAATCTCACACTGGTCTCCTTTCAGTTCCTAAGGAGTGCTGAGACTTCTGCAGGAGTTCTGCACACACAGTTCCCTCTTTCTGGAATGCACTGTCTTACTGCTGTGGTTGACTAGCTTCCTACAATTACTGCGGTCTCAGCTCATAAGTCTCTTCTCCAGTGAGTAGAAAATCAAATTAGGATCTCTCTTCTTCCACAGTATTATGTATTTTTATGTCATAGCACATCCATAGTCTGTATAGATACATTTTCTTACATGAGCATTTAGGTCATTCAATAACATTTATGAAATGCTTAATAGATAGCAAGTATATTAATCAAAATATATATGTTCTCTAATTTAATTAAGCTTATAGAGATATAAGTGACAACAGAAAAAAAAATTCAGGCTTTTATATCATATCTACCACATACTTACCATTTCTAGTACTCTTTATTTTTTTAAGTGGGTCCAAATCTCCATCTGGTCTTACTTGCCTTCTGCTTAAAGGACTTCCCTTAGCACCTCTTATGCTGCTGGTCTGCTTTGTTTGCTGAAAAAGTCTTACTTTTTGAAAGATAAGATTTGCCAGATATAGACTTCAGATTTATAGCTTTTTTTCCCCCAGTACATTAAAGATGTTGTTTCACTGTCCTTTTTAAAAATGTTTCTTTCCAAAGAAAAACCTTCTATCCATTCTTATCTTTGTTCCATTGTATATAACTGTCCTTTTTCTCCAGCTGCTTTTAGGATTTTCTCATTACTAATGGTTTTAATTAAGTTCGTTATGATGTGTATTGGGATAGTCTTATTCCTATTTCTTTTGCTTGAAGATTATTTGTCAGAATTTATTTTTATGTCTATTTTTCTCTTCTCATTGTTTGGAACTTCAGTTACTCATATGCTAGGGCACTTGATAACATCACACAATTCACTTATGATCTAACTTTTTTTTCAGTCTTTTAACTGTGTTAACTTGAATGATTTTCCTTCAAATTTGGTCTTCAAGATCACTAATCTTTTCTTCTACAGTGTCTAATCTGTTCTTAATCCCATTAATTTGTTTTCACATGTCAAGTGTTAGACCTCACTAAATCTAAAAGCTTGATTTGAGGTTTTATTTGTTGTTTGTTATAGAGCATGTGCACTAGCTGGAAAGAATGTGAGAAATCACCTCCCAAGATAATGGTCACATCACAATTCCTTCTGCATTCTCCTTTCAGGATTTCAGGCATGCACATGTGCCGGGTATGTTTTTTTAAGCCATGAGCCTGGTACTCAAACCACACAGTCGACCATGTGGGATCCAGTTGCTTTAACCTCTATGCCACTTGCTGGCCCTGTGCTTTCCTCTACTATCTTGAACATGTGGTATATATTTATGAGTTACCTTAATGCCCTGTCAACTAAATCTATAATCTGGATTAATTTTTTAAAAAGGTTTTTAATTATAGATCATGTGAGATTTTGAACTTTGGACTTTTGAGTTGGTACTGGAACAAATTAACACTTTGGGAATTCTTGGAATGGGATGATTATATGGTATATGTGAGAAAAACATGAAACTCGGGGGTCAGGGATGGAATTTTATAGTTTGGATGATGGTTTGTTCCCCAAAAGTTCGTGTTTGTGAATCTGGTCCTGAGTGTGATACAGTTTGAGAGGTGAGAGAGACCTAGTTTCAATGATGGGATCATGGCACTTAAGTGATGCTCAGTGGTCAGTGCGTGGATCATGGAGGCACCAATGTCATGAACAGATTAATGCTATTTTAAAAGAAAACTGAGTAAGATCTAGCTCTCATAAGAAGGGGTCAGATCTTGAGAGCAAGTTATTATGAAAGAGAGAACTTCCTGCAGCTCTTTCTCTCTGCACACATGCACCGTCCTCTGCTTCGGTTAGTCATGTTACAGCTACCACAACCATGAGTCAATAAATCTCTTTCCTTATTATAAATCACCCAGTCTCAGATATTTCTTTTAGCAATCTAATAACTAAGATATTTTTCATTCCTGGTAATTTTTTTAATTGGCTACTAGTCCCTGTGAATTTTACATTGTTGAGTAATTTATTATTATTACTCCCTTAAATAATTGTGGCCATTGTTCTGGAATGCAGTTCATTTATCGAGAATAAGTTTGATCCATTTGAGCATTGTTTTTATGTTTTGTTAGGGTGATAATAAAACAGCCTTTAATCTATATCTAATTTGGCCCCATTGCTGACAAATGTGCCTCTAAGAATTCTACTCAATAACCTGGTGTTAGGAGTTATTTCCACTGTAAAACACAAATTCTTCCTGACCTTCTGTGAGCATTTGAGATTATTCTGCCAAATCCTTTCCAGGAGAACTTTTTCCAAGCTCAACATTTCCTCAGACAAATTCATAGATGGGATCTTCACCAAAAATTCCCTCTGCACATCTTGAGCTAGTGTGTTCTTGGTAGCCCGCTCTCTTTCACTCTTCTGTCCCACAATTCCACTTACCTTTTCTCTCTGAATTCTGCTTATCAATTCAATATCACCGGCCTAATCCTAGATTCTTCCCCACTCTATGCTGAGGTCTTCACTTTCTCTTTAGACGTGAGCTGGGTCACTCATAAGTTCAACTTTCATTTACATTTTCCTTTTCTCAGAGATCACTGTTCTTGCTACTTGTTGCCCAGTATCTCAAAACCATTGTTACATATATTTTGTGTGCTATTCTAATTGTTCTAGATGGGTGAGTAGTATTGTTCCTGCTATTGACCAGATGTGGAAGAGACCTATTAAATAAATCCAAATATTATTAAGAATATATGTTTAATTTTAGGGTAATCACTAAAAGAACAGAAATAAGAATGCATAAGACAGTAAAGGAAAACAATAAAATAAGAAAAAATTAATCATTTGAGGGCTCAGCAGTTCGCATAATGGCTATGTCGCTGAAGTCCCATGTAGTCGACTGCGGTTCAAGTCCCAGACCCGGTGGCTTAAACTCATGCCGGACGTGTGTGTGTGTGTGTGTGTGCCCAGGATCCCTAGAGGAGAATGGAGAAGGGATTGTGGCATGGCCATCCCCCCAGGGGGTGATTCCTTGCTTTCTATCTCTCTGTCTCTCTCTTTTTGGTGAGCACACATGCCTTATAGCAAAAAATTCTCCCCCCCCAAAAAAAAGAAAGAAAAAAATTAATCATTTGGAAGAAGAAAATAAAT